CTACTACTACTGCTACTGCTACTGCTACTGCTACTGCTACTGCTACTACTACTACTACTACTATTCTTATTATAGTTTACCACTGCTACTACTGCTGCTACTACTAGTACTACTACTCGATAACATGATGGAAGTCAGAATGGCAAATGCAAAAGCATAGATGTATTGATATAGTAACGTGAAGCATGCTTAACAATTTGACTTGCTAAAGCCACCAAGTGCTCCCAACCTCGCTCTCGACCTCAGCCAGGAAGGATGCAAAGAGCTCGTCGTCCATGAAGCGCCCATGAGCACAACTCCGCGCGCTCCCTTCAGGTCTTGTTAAAACCAGTCGCATCATGAGTTATATACATCTAGTTGCCACGTCTGGTTACCTGTTACTCCATAGTACCTACCTAGTCGTGTTTTGGGGGAACGGGCAATGGGCTTGTGGAGACTGTTCACCCTGATACTTCGGGACACTGAAGGTTGAGACCAAACTTGCTAGCATCTCGAAGAAAAGAGGACCCGAAAAATGCCGTCCAACTTTAGAATGCCATCTCTCAAAGACTCGCTACAATGCTGTCTTTGAGCCATGTGCTTCTCGCTAGATGGCCGCCAGGTAAGGACTTGCAATCTTTTTGGTCACTCCCAACCATCTCTGAGTTCTCCCGGCTTTGCAATCACGATGATTTGGCCACACAGAGACCTGCACCAACTGATCAGTTACACTTTGTTGAATTAAACCATGCCCTGACAGACTCGTGCTTGCGAGAATTCCAAGATAAACCGAACAAATCTCAGGATTCATGCGTTGATAACCATCCTGCTCTGATCTTCGAAATCCAGCACCTAAGCACTCCTTTACTCCCTGGATGCCTTAGCTTGGGGAGGAGTGCTCTTCAATTGTTGAACCTTCACCAGCGCTGCACCTTGGCTACCAGGATTCACAAACGCGTGGAGTGGCACTAGCACAGATGTTTTTCCACACTGCTCTTGGTGCCCGTCGCTGTAAAGTAGGGTCGTACATGTTCCTGGTCACTCCCGCAAAATGATCATGCTGAGCTGATGCGGTTGAAGTTGGCGTTGGCTCTTGGCTATTCTCTTCACTGCTTTCTTGATGCTTTGAGGCTTTTCGGTGCTTTTGTGCCAAGCGTCGTCTGGGAAGCGGGGCCAGCCTATCAATCACTTAGCTTCTCACACAGGTTTGGTGAGAGAAAGACTCAGGCGACAAATAAATTGCAAGCACAAGGAGGCATGAAGCCGGCCTGGAAGACATTCGAAGTCATGTAGACCTGGATTTGCTGGACATGGCAAAAGGCACTTGAGGATCAACAAACATAGAGCGAGTCCCGGCCTGCTTTCTCTGTCGTGCATTGATGGCCTCTGGGGAGGCCTGCCCATCTGGTGTTCAGCTTCTAGGAGCATAAAGGACAGTGCAATCCAGCAAAAAGTCCAAACCAGCATGTTACATATGTGTGAAAAACTTGCACAATGGAAACTCACCAAGAGGAAAATTGATATACAATCTCCGGCCACTTCTCAAGCTTGTTCCAAACTGGAGAGACTACTCAAGGAGCCTGCACCACCGGTGGCGGCGAAACCGGCCGAAAGATCAACGCCATGGCACAAAGCCTTTCGAAAGGGGTCAAATAGCTTCTCAAGCAGCTGGTCAAGAAAAACTACATAAAATGCCGATTTGCTCAAATAATCAAACATTGCCACCTTGTGGTCGGGGTTTGGAGCTAGGAATGCCTTGCCAAACTTCACTGCTATGCAACAATAGTAGGCAACGAGCTTCGCCGCAAAAAAGTATGGTGAAATCCCTGTGACCCGATTTTGGCTCCTGACCTTCCTCTTTAGATTTTCCGACAGAAAAGTGTCAAATGCACTTTCCGTGTTGCATGCTGCACGAACTGTGCTCTTCATGTCTTCATGTGCTCTTTTTGCAGAGAGTCTAGGCACTCTGAAAGAAACGCCACGCAGCTGTTGGTCAGCTGTTCTGTTTGGCATCCACCCGCATGTATGAACATAGCAGCACTTCGCTCGTGAAGAATATTCCCAGAGCCACTCAGACCGAGTGTGTCTGTCAACGCAAAGCCCGTCACACCAACTCAGCTTCATTGAGGTAAATGGTAAAGCCCGGCAAGACTGTCAATGAAACCCCTCCACAAGGACAGCGGCATCGGGCCATCGCCTTGCCGTGAGAAATCAGACTATGCGTGTCTTAAGAACGGAGCCATCTGAAGCCATTTGGTTGACTGTCCCTCTCAGAGAGAGGCCCATGAATGTTTTGTGCTGGGTCTTGTTTCAGCGAAGCAATCAAGTCACTCAAAATCATGTCTATCAACATGTTAAAGCCATCTTCATTGAATCACTGGAATCCTTGCTCTTACTCTTTGTCCGACAACTAGCACCCCCGAGTCTGAATAGCTTGACAGGCAACGTATGTAGCGTTGCCACAAAGGCATCACCCTCTGAGCCCCCAGAAGCTAAGGCAGGGTCCTTGTTGCAAGATGCCTTCAATAGTTCCTTCACACCCTCTCATTCAAGTATATAATTTCAAGTGAAGCAATAGCTGAAATTCAGATCAAGAGTCGATGTCGCTAAGCTCCACCCGCACGGACTTCAAGGTTGGCCCTGGAGGATCCTCTCGCACGTCACAGACTCAAGACGTATTCGTGGAGAGCAAGCGTGTTCAGTAAAAGAACGACAATAACAATCAAGCGATCGGACTGAACCTTCTGCTCACTCACCCGGCCAAAGAGACTTAGTGACTTAAGCCCTTGAACAGAGATCTCACTACAACTAGCTTGAGCGTCATAGTATCCTAAAGCAAGTCTTTGACACCTATGATTCAGGCAGCGGCTTTGCAGTCTTGGGACTCCTGCCCATCGTATAGGAAGAGCTGAATCTTTCCAGACTTTGTGTCAGCAGCAGCCACATTGAACTGCTTACCTTGGACATTGGATCGCATTTAAAGTCTAAAGGCATTGCTTTTCAGGACCAGCAGGGGGGACTGCACAACTGCTTCCAAAAAGGACAATGTGCGTGTGTTCAAACAAGATGCCAACCCACAGTCGGAAGTCTTCCCACCTTATTCACAGAAGTAACAAATCTCAAAATGGAAGCTGCAAAGCAAATGATATTGAAGCGAAAATTCTGCCTCTCAGTACTCGCAAAAACGTTGCATGACAGCTGGGCCCTGAACAGGATCACATCCTCCCGTACAATATCTTGTTGCGCCTCTTGCAGCTTCTTGCCGTCAATGCCCAGAGCCCCAAGCATCTTACCTCCGGATATTCAGGCTCGTGTGTCAATATCAAAACGTCATTGCAAAACATCTTTCGAATGTCATTGTGTGATACAAAAGCCAATTCCGCTAAGTGGCTCAGGTTTGCGGACATTGCAAGGCCGCCCTCGTCGATCGAATTCTCAACAAAAACCTTTTTGACTTGTTGATCCAACTTGGCCTGGCAAAAGGGACTGACCCATCACCACAATTTTGTGCACAACACCGTGACAAGAAGAATACCGCCTCCTCACTCAACTGAGAGTCGGCCCTCTGGGTGGAGAATATCATGGTGTAGTGAGTGGGAGAAGCCAGCACCCAAATCGGGAAATCTGGATTCTTGTAAAGCCTTGCTTGGAAATGCTGTCTCCGAAATGCATGTTCAAACAGACAAAGCTGAGCTCTGATGTGTTCACGAGGTGACACTTCTTGTACCCGTGCCGAGCATCATCCCAACTGAAAGATATCTGTAGGTCTCCAATTCGCTCAGGAGGCCAACTTGTGGCACACCGACGCGTTCGCTGTCGACGCCCCTGGCGCACAGTTGAGAGCGATGATGCAGAGCTAGGATGATGCAAGGCCTCACGCGGAAACCACTAGAAGGGTCGTCGCCCAGCCAGCGAGTCCCATCAAAGACATTCCTCAAAAAGCACGAAAGGATGAAGCTGAAGTAAAGTCAATCAAGCTAATCGGATCATGATTTCAAGGTGTTCAAGGAGGTTTCAAGAAGAGTTTCCTCTTTCGGCTCATGGTTCTTTCAAAAGTGTACAATACTTCAGCAGGACAACTGAGCCGAGTTTCGATGTGGCTTCACCAATGAGCATGAGATTTACCAGCTCCTGAGAAGCACAGTGCATGAACTACTGAAACCAAGAAGTGGCATGAAAATATGTGAAGCGGCTTCCGAAGCGGCCTGGCTGCAATGGCCAAATCGTCCAATCAACGGAGTGGTGGAATCATCCATATCCTTGGTCTCGCAGAGTCACACGCATAGACTCTCGTTCTCTACTAGTAACGAAGGGCATCGCTACTAGGAACAAGGATGCTACTATATAGTAGCTTACAATTCACTCTGCTTTTCCAATCTGACTGGTTCTCTGCCCCGGTTGTGCTAGCACAAGGTTGCAGCCAAGGTGCTTCTCTAACAGCTGAGACTGTTCGGCTACTGAGCACAGAGAAAAGGAAGCTTAGAACTCCCAAAGGTCCAGCAAGCCAGCTGTCCGCACCTCACTGCTCTTCTCAGACGTGCAACATACGGATCAACAGATCAACAAATATATAATCGGACAAGTAGAGATTGACCATGAGATGCGATAGCTGCCTTCTTCAAGCACTTGTCGTGCCTGCTCAAGTGTGTGTGTGTGTGTGAGCGTGTAACACATCTTTTCAAACACACAGAGCGGGTTCAAAAAGCAACTGGAAAAGCTTCTGAAAACAGCCGTAAAGACATGGTGTCAGCCTCCGCAATCCGCGTGAGGTGCCGAGCAGAAACAGCCAAAACGCTGGAGCCCTCACCTGTCCATGAACTCCACGGTCAAGACATGGTGTACAGTACATTGTATATAGTCGGTTCAAAGCCCTACCAGAGCCCAGTCCTTTTTGCTCCTCCCTCCCATACTGCCTGCAGCAATGGCAGCAGGCGCTGCCTGCTGCACTGCCTGCGCCTCAGGAGAATCACCCTCAGCAGCATAACGCACCTGTCGACAGCAGGTTCGGTGAAAGCTAAAATGTCTCATGCATGTTACCTATCGTTGTCTGGTGGGTTGCGGGTTTTGTGGGATGCACATTTCGCTCGGCAAAGTCTTGCTTTGGTCTCTGATACAACTGATTTGGAGACAAATTCCTGACACACACTTTGGAGCCTGACAAATAACGTAGGAAGAGCTCGCCGTCGAGTGGAAGAGAATAGACGCCAAGGCGTGAGCAAGAACAGATCCTCGATCATCCTGTTACTGTTGGCTGCACAGAACACCACACGCACGACTTGAAAAGACCTGCCAAAGCGGCTTCCAATGCTGCTTGCCTCGTCATCTGCTCCGGTGCCCAGCGGCTTCTCCTGGCGTTCACCAAAGCGAGACACATCAGAGACACATCACAAGCGTTACTAATTCGTGTTTCTACTAGCTTCTTGTTACTACATGTTACTACTAGTAAGGCACTTGTTACTAGAAGCGATGCGCTTGTTCCTAGTAGCTTCCTTTGTTCACTTGTGTCTCTTGCACAGTTTCTCCTTCCGTCGAGCATCTGGCTCTGGATTCTCTCGGTCACCAGAGCCGAAAAGCAGGAGCTTGACAATGAAGGCCTTCAGGCAAACTATAACCATTCTTGCTCTTTGGATACGAACAAACAAGCAAGCAAACAAACAAACAAACAAAGCCTGCACTGGTGCATATACACCGCCTCGGCCACTGTGACATCACTTATCACAAAGATTAAACTTCTGATAAATGGATCTGTCAGCTGCCCAATTCCACTGGGCATCAAGCATGGTCCTCCTTGCGTTTGCCAAAGTCCCCATTCAGTACCACTGCGCTGACTCCAAGTAAAT